TGATAATTACATTTAGTCTTCAACTTTCAACTTTTGCTCACAAAGAAGCATTTTTTAGTGAATTCACTTACCACTAATGGAATGAAGGGAAGCCAGAATAGTGTTATATTTGTTTGTTAAAACACTTTTTTGCGATTACAAAAAAAATTCAATGCAGAGTTAGCATTACTCGAGGAGTTTTTTTACCTCAAATTTACCGCTCTAAAAGAAAAATTCTAGAATGGCTAAAGTGGCTACCGGTGCATTTAGGAAATGTAAAGTTACTTGAAAAGATCCAAATCCAGAAGCTGCCAAAAACATATACTTCAAAACCGTTGCTTTCAAAATTCAAGTTTATCGTGAAGAATGAGTAAAGTGTTTGTATCTCGAATGTTTCTTGTATGGGTTCTATTTACCTTATTCCCACCAGGACTCCAAGTTCCTTTTCAAGCTCTTCTTAAAGTACCTTGGAAGTTCAAAGTTGCTTTTCGTATTGCAAAATGGGGCCTAGAGGAGACAAATAATAACAACACTAATTTCGTTTCATTTTTAAGTAAAGTAGAAGTAAAATTTGTTTGTTTGGTATATTGGAATCACCGAATGAAATCCATATTCGAAAGAGTTAATAGTTCTGCGTTGGAGACCAGATGTAGAACTGGTGAAGGAAACAAACCTATAATAAATTAGCAAAAGTGAATTAGTTTACTCTATACGCAAAACCCCCAAAGCCAAAAATCAAGGGGGGGGGGGAACTTAAGAAAGAGAAAGGTAGGTACGGGTACAGTAGACTCAAAGTGAGGTTTTGTTCGACTTGTTGGTTAAAACACAACCGGTATAAGCCGAAAAGGCGAGTACAGAGGGCCGGGAGGAAAGAGGAGGCCAGAAGATACCGGTTCGTGTTCACTCCAAAAAATTTCAAGAGATTCGTTGGGCTCCCAAAAATGATTTTTCGTTTCATTTAATGCTGACGTTGGAACCTTTGTCGTTGCGAAAAATCTAAGCATGAATAAGTCAAAACCCAAAAATTGTTATTTTAAGTTATAAGGTGTTTTTTTTTTTTAAAGAAAGAAAATGAATGTGGGAG